TTCTCCATCGAAAGTCGATTTTCCTCACAAAAATGTTTTGTTGATTTCGAGATACTGGATGCCAGAACATTTACTAAACAAATATTAAAAATTATTTTCAGAATTTTAAGCTCACATTAATTGTAGCTACAAATGCTAAAAAAATTTGTTTTATTTCTTGAAAATACTGGAATCCGGAGAAACCGGAACCCGATTTATTTGAAAAAATTGCACATAGAACGACTTTTTGTTTCCTTGTGTTTGCCTTTCGATTTTCCAATCAGAATTTTTAAGTTTATCGTATTACACAAAATTGTAAATTCACCACACTTTGTGTACAAATCTCATATCATGTTATTTTCATTTAGATTTACTTTTAAAAATAAATCACCCTTTTTATATAGGGGACACCACATCCATTTTGTGATTTTCTCTAGAATACTCATTTCGTTGAAAAACTTTTTTTATAGTTACAACTTTCTTGAGAATAAGCATTAAAATAAAGATTGCAACAACAACATGAAACTTTGATGTTTGGCTATGAAAAAAATGCTGGGCTTGCATGTTTGTGTTTGCTTGATGCAGCCCACTGTATTACTACTACCACTACCGACCGTTACTACATACATCTTCAGGTGATGCCATGACTGTGAAAAGTCCTAGAATGATGGCTTTCCAGATTTCTTCGCACATAAAAATAAATGTGCGTGTGTGTGTGCGTTTGAGTGCGTATGTATGTGAATTTGTTGGTTTATGTACGTACGTACGTGTTTTAGTGCCACCATAAGTGATTGTTATGCACTTTCTAAAAATTGTAATCTGCTATTCTTGTTCTTTTTTCATTCTTTTGTTTCTATTTTACGACGAAGACGACAACGTTTATGTTTACAGTGTCACTATTTTCCTGATGTTGTTTGCAGTTTTTAATACACACAAACACGCACATACAAATGGCTTGATGTTGTTGCTGTTGCTTGCAATTTAGACCATCACTTTTAAGCCATATTGTTTATTGTTGTTGATTAAAATGGTTTCTAACAAAAGTTTATTCGTTTATATATCACCAGATTGTTAACAGCAAGCAGAGGCATTTTCCACTTGACTGCATATTTCTAGAATCTAAATGACAACAAATATTTACAGAGATAGTCTTTTTCATTTTGTAATAGGTAGTATTTGTTGTTAGAGTTTTGATTTTCTTGTAATTATAAATAGTTTTCTTCGTTTGTTGAAATTTGAAATGAAATTTATGCTATAAATGTGATGTGGCATTAGATAGACAATTTTCGCATATATTAAGGAATGATATGTGCCAGACAAAAACTTTACTTTGAAATCTCGACACACATTCTTACAATTTTCAAATTATTATTTTTTGAATTTCTCTGCAGGAACTATTTTAAAAATCAATGTGACACCAGAAGTCAGACAAAAAGTAGATTGAAATAATAAAATGTTCATAAAATTAAACCGCTTTTAATATAAGATCGTAGAAAGCGGTTTATTACCGTCTTAGCCACTTTTTTTTAAATTATTTTTTACCACAATATTTTCCACTTTAAAATTATTTCATACGAGAAATACATATGTATGCTACCAAAATTTTATTTGTATCTGTATACGTTGTCAATTATTTGTTAACCACCAACTGCGAACTCAGTTTACAAAGAGAGAAAAGTTATAACTGCTATTTAATTAGCAAAATTGTCTATACATTTTTAATTGAACCAATACTGACAATATTGAATATTTAATTTAATGTAGTTGGAAAGACGTTGTCGCTTGTAACCATCAGAATACGAAAAAACTTTTCCTATTTGTTGTGTTCATTTCTTTTTGAAAACTTCAGTTTTTGTTCTAAGAGACCAGCAAGCTGTTGTTGTTGTTTAATTGTCAAGCTGTGCATTGTAGGCAGCATCAAGACACCAAAACTTTATTTATTTTTCATTGTAGGTATTTGTGTGATTTCCGTTTTAGTAGTTGTTACACTATTTATTTAACTTTTCATTTTTGCAACAAAAGATCCTAAATTTTCGCAAGACAACCAACATCAAAGTGGATGTGGTGATCCTTTTGTTAGCCTTTGGCGGATGGGTACAACCTGTATTGTTCAATGATAAGTTTTCTTTTTATTTCCTGTTTTTGTTTAGCACTTCATTTCTTTGACTGTAAAGTGAAGTTTCTTTCCTAGCCCTTGTAGCCAATTGCAAGAAGCTCCAGAAATAACAATGGTGGCAACAAGCAACGATATCGCCAATTTGCCACCATCTCCATAGTCATCGTCATCACCATCGACCTCCAACAGCCAAAGGCACTCACTGCAAAACACTGCAATTTAATGTTGTCACTGATGTCCTTCTCGGTAAATTTGCCATTGAGCAGTGGGAATGTGTGCGTGTGAGTGGGTGGTTGAATGTGTATGATGGTTACTTCCGTTTGATACTAACTTCCGTCTACAATATGGCGGCACTATAAATGTTGTTTGGTGTAAGTTTTTTGTTTTTGGGTTTTTAGTTGTTCTACAAATGTTTGTTGCTGTTGTTTCTTCTGATATGTTTTTTATTTTGTTTTGTAGCAATACAAATAACATCCACCAAACTACAATTCTATCTCTTGTTAGCCATTGTTTGGTCCCTGGTTTTCTTTTTTTTTTAATCTCCAAATTTAATCTTTGTCGACGGAGTATTTTTGTTGGTGTTCTCTGTTTATTTGTGTGCTTGTCATACGCCCCAGTCAACAGCAATGAAAGTAAGTGCAGGCAAAGATGAGAGAGAGACCCAAAAAACCAAGTCAGTACTCTTCTGTGATGGCCATAGTCATAGTGCAGTCTATACGAAATTGGCAATTCATTATTGTCCAATGGTCGTTTGTGTTGTCTTGCCATACTTCGGCCACAGGAATAAGTGTTTGTTTTTATTCCTGTTGCAACTGCCGCCTTTTGTTGCTGCTGCCGCTGCTTTGATTTTTTCCATTTGATTTCTTCCTTTGGTGTCGAATTGTTGTTGTGTTGTTGTCACATTTGTTGAATGCAATAAAGTTCTAAAAAGTGTTTGAGTTTTTGTTTTGAGCTTTTAGTCTTTTTATATTTATTTTTTTGATTGTGGTCAAATGAATTTATGGCCAAATGGCTTTGGACAATTGGGGTAATAAATCTATTTAAGTATATTGAGAGTTTGTCTTTTTCCCTCAGTCTTTACTTTTTAGTGTATTGCTATGCTCCGATTTGAGAGAATGAAAACAAAGATAAAATACTGCAATTTGTTGGCTGCAATGAATAATATAGTTGTTAATTAATTTCAACAAAAATATAAACTAGTTTTTTAAATAAAAACAGAGAACAGCATAAAATGAAAGAAGCTTTTAGTTGATTTCAAGGATAAGGCTTTTTTATGTTGTGAAAAATTAAGTGCATTATCATTTGAAAATCAAAAACCATTTGAAAATATTGAGTTTTATTAAAAATAAATATAGATGCATATCAGCAAATAAATATTTGAAAAGTTGAAAAAAACTCTTTCAATAATAATTTCGAAAAAAAAACTAAAAGAAAAAAGTGGTATATATTTATTTTATAAACAAAATTAGTTATATTGGCCAATAAAATCGACTGTAAAAATAAAATCGATTTTGTCTCCATTAAAGCAGAGGAAAAAAAATATATTTTTATTACAAAGAAAATTAAGATATAAAATAATATTTTATACAATTTTAAATCAAATTTAAATAATGTGGTCAATTGAAGAGTTATTTTTAAATATTGATTTCAAATTGTTTAAAAATTTATTTCATTTCTTGATACTTACAATTTAATATTCCTTTAAAATATTTTTTTAATATTTAGATTTCTATTTATTTCATTTAAAAAAAAAAAATCTTTCATAATTGGCCCACATGTTGCCATGGTCCTTCGTTCACCACACAAATGAACGTTATCTTTCCAAGAATTAATTGTTTGTAATAATTGATGAACTTGAGATAAATGGAACACTGCTTGTACATAATAACTATAATTTCCTTTACATGGCAGCAGACGACATCCACTACGCATCAGTATTAATAAACTTAGATACTGATTTAATTGTGTTGAATGCCATAGAATCATAAAATGTCATCAGTGTTGCAGTGTGTGCTATACTTTATGTGTGTGTGTGTGTGTGCGTGATGTGGATCTATTTACTTTAACGAAGATGGCAAAAGTCAAACAAACTTGACCTTTGCAATTCAATATTATTTGTAATATAATTACACCCAACATCTATGTATTAGTTGAAAGTGCCCATGTGTATGTATGTACGAACATGTGAACGTTCTATTTGTCCTTTTTTGTTTGTATTTCCGCTTCCGGCATACAAAGAGCACATTATCATACTATTGTCATCGTAGAAACATTTGCATCTTGTCTCAGCACTTATGGAATTGTAATTTAATTAAAAAGTTTCTTCTTTCCAACATTCTGGTATAATTGTGCTACGACATGCTAGTAGATCACTCGAGTGTAGTTGTTTATTATTATGCCAAGCAGGTGTGTTATGAATGTTGTATTCCTCCTTTCATGTGGCAACTCGAAGGAATTTCTGTTTTATTTATTTGCTTTTTTCGTGGCATATAATTTGCTTCTATGCCACTTGGTGGTAATAAACATGTTGCCACCATAAATTATTTTACTGATAAATGCGTAAACATTGCCGCAGCGGAATTCAGGGATATCAAGGTGTCACCTCTTGTACCTCTGTCTTGTTCTTGTTGTTACTCTTCTTTTATTTAATCCGATGGGGGTGTGTATGTTATAAAACGTGTTTACAATGCCATTGACATGTTGTGAAGAGTTGGTAACACGTTTAAACATATTTTATATAATTCTATAAGAAATAAAAATTGTACAGAATTCTTCGATTTCCAGTTTTTCTTTATTAACACATATCATTACTTAACCATTATTCAATTAAAAAATTCTCTATTCATTTTGTAAGAGAAACCAATTAACAATTTAATTTTTATTTTCTGCTTTTTTGTACTTGCAGGGGTCAATATGGGTTACATCGAGAATAATTACTCCAATTCCAATAATGGTGGCAGCGTGAATTCACAGGACTCATTGTGGCAGGTGAAAATGTCCGGCGCCGCAGGCAATCAACCAAACATGATGCCAGTGTCGCACAATAACTATGTCGAACAGCAGCCCACCTATGGCTATGATCCATTGACGCATGGCGGCTATGGCGGTGTTGATGATTACGCTCCATATCCACAATTGACAGCAACGCCCAGCCAACATGGCGATGAATATCACAATTTACGTAACAGTCAGAACCCATCGAGACAAGACTACTGTAGCGATCCCTATGCATCGGTGCAAAAGCCCAAAAAGCGTGTTGACCAACATTTAGGTAAGTTCACCATCATCATCACCACAACAAAACAATTGTATTTATTCATTCATTAAATTGCGGGTGGAAAGGGGAATTTACTTTCCTTAAAGAATATTGTGTCGCATCGAAAAATAAAATACTTGTAAATGAGAGATTAGTTAGCAAAGTTCTTAAACGATAATTTAAATTGTCATTTATATTCCATGGTGGTGTTTTTACCAGCGGCCATAATAGGACACCAAATCTGCTGGTGGTGGTCTATGTGGCAAAAGTCATCAGTCCGAAATTGTCTAATATCTTTTAGATGGTATTATGTGAAACCATGGTATTTTTATTTAAAGATACATCGTCCATGGCTAATTGGCAATGGACAAGACAATCATATAATAAGCCCTATTAGGCAATTGTCTAAAGTAAAACACACACACACACTTACAAACGTGAAAAGAAATGCGCATTGCTGTTGTTGTTGTTGTTTGTAATATACATAAGCCAAGGTAATCGCCAATGGCCATCTTCGTTGTTTTTTGATTATGCTGCTAAAAGATGTTTTGATATTGGAATTAGGAAATCAAGAAAGTTGTAAGGACTATGACTATCCCGCAACCACCGTCATCAGTGAAGTTACAGTATCAACACGAAAGATTTTTTTGAGTACAACTATTTTTGGAAAAAAGGTTTATTATTACTTTGATATCACTATGAGATGAAATAAACCAAAAACATAGGTCTTGGGAAAAACATTCGATATGGATTTGAGGTATTGGCCAACAATTTTAAATATTGTATACCATTAAATTCCAATTTTTGTATCTATATCCACAATTCTGAACTTCTATATTGCCATCAACTGATTTTTAGTATATGGATGACAATAAGGAAAAAATCTGTAATAAGTGTTCCGATCGAAGCTAATTAAAGACAAATAGAAAGCAAAAAAATCGAGATTTGAAATAGAATTTTCAAAATCCAACTGACATTCGGCAAACAAAACCAACGACCCGTAACTGTAACAACTTGTTTTAATTTATTTTTCGATTTGATTTTCTATTATGCATTTAGGGGTCCCTATTTTAGGATTTGAAATTAGTTCTCAAGTAGTCACCTTTCCTTAGAATATATGTTCTACATTTAAGACCGGATACTGTGTTCGTAAATACAAATAGAATATATGTAAGATTTTACTTTATATTATTTTATCTATTGTTTCTCTGTGTCTGTGTCGATTTTTTTCTCTTCGCAGTGTAAATGTTCACAAAAATGGCAGTCATGCGATAGTTGTTGCTGTTGTTGTTGTTGTCAACAACAAACCTAATAACATCAAACCAAAGTCAGTTACAACAGCAACCAACCACCGATAACAATTGAGTTTATCCTGATTATCCTTGTATTACAATTGCTGATTGTCCTTGTGGCTTAGACACGTACATAGCCACACAGCATCAGCTAGCCCGACACCTACCTAGCCCCCTAGACAACCAGTCCCTCTCCACCCCCACTCGTGGGGGATCGACCACAATACGATGTTCTATCAAATAACGCATAAAGTGACGCACTCACACAGCTGTGAATCACCCACCTTCAATCCCGCCAACCAGCAACCACTTATAAACCACTTGACATTTTGAGAAAAAAACGCATACACACAGCCACTGAGTGATTATTGTTGCCAATATTGTTGTATTTGTTTCCATGGTTGTAATAATTCTCTGGGGTTATTCTTTGCCTAGTGGGTTTAGGTGTAAGTGTGGGTGTGTATGCGTGATTGTGGTTTATCCTTTTTTTTTTGTTATTTGCAAGCCCTTGTGAAACTTCTGTTTTAGTTCTTTGTTGCAAGTAATTTGTAATTCATCTTCAATCGGTATGACCAAACGAATCTTTATTGGGGTTTTAATTAATCACTCTTTCTTTTTTTCCTTTTGATTTCCGATTTCGCATATAGCTGCTGTTGTAGTTGTTTGAATAGTTTGTTGGCGTGGTCGTTCGTTCGTTTGTTGGTTTTATTCTTTGGGGTTACGATTTATTTCTTTCCGTTCTATATTCTTCTTTGGCTTGGGTTTATCGTTAATGCCAAACGACATTCTATTTGTCATAGATTGTCAAAAAGTTTATTTTAATCAATCATTTTATATCAACCACAACAACTAAAAAACAAACACACACACAACAATTTCGCTAACCACAGGTTTGCATAGAAGCATACGCTGAGTACCGAAGCTTTGTATTGAGTATTTGGGTTGGTTAGTTGGCTGGGTGATTGTTCGCTTGCGGGATTTATGGATTACGAATTTCGCTGTTGTTGTTGTTGGTTTGGCTTGCCAAAAATAAATGCGATATATGAATGATAAATCAAAATTAAGGTTATAGCATGTAAACGGAATAAAATAAATCAGATTGAAGAGAAAGGGAAATGGAAGAAAAAAAGAGTGAGAGACATATGTATATTAAATTAAATTTTTGGGATGTATTTAATAATAAAAAATAATCATAGAATTTAAATGTTATTTCAACGTCTAATTACATACATTTTGTCTACAATACTAAGGGATATTTTTGGAGTCAATTATAAAATCGATTTTAAATAAACAAATTTTGAAAGGTATAGAATTGTGTCACCAATCGATCTGCCACCATATAAGTTGAAATTTTTGTTGTTGAACCTGTGCCTGTGTATAAATAAACCTTGACTTTGACAAACAAATTTGCCAATCATCAAATAACAACATTCTAAATTGCCTTTTTCTCTCTCACAACTGATGAGTTTACATTTTTATGTAAATTTTTAATTTATTTAACGATATTGCATTAGCAATGACATATCGATTATGGCCTAAAATATGACACATAGCTTATCTAATCTATGATGAGCAGAACTTTTACTTTTATTTAAAACGAAAAAAAGAAAATCTTTCCAAAGCATGATGGCAAGTGCATGAAATCACTTTGGGCGAAATTTTAATACTCGAATTTTCAGTTCTAGAAATATGGGAAACAAAATTAAATAAAAAACTGAAACATCATTTTGCAGATGCCAAAACATTTTTCATTTTCTAGTTAAGCATCGACCAACCACAATTTAACGTTTATAATCACCTTGGCTTGTAAATCATCATTAATCTTTATTTTTTTTTTTTCTTATTTTATTTGAATATAGTCTCTAACAAAAAATGCATAAATTTATACACGACTACATCATACCCATGCTAAACATGCACTCACTCTACCACACACAAATGCAAACAAAGCATAAATTTTGCCAAAAGTTATATAAAAACAGAAGCAGAGAAGCATCAGGGAAAGAACAAGAAAACGCAATGTGTAAATCTTTGCATGGTGTGTTTGGTGTACAACACAACTTAATCCCATTTAATGTGGAAGCCCAGAGTGTGGAAAAAAACATATTTTGCATATTTTTCTTGGAGAGCTTCTTAACAAACACCATTGCACACATACATATGTATATATGTGTGAGTGTATGGAGGAGATTTAAGCTATACAATATTGAATTGCTAATAATTTCTATGTGATGGCATTGGCATATGTTGAAAACAACAAAAACAACAATACTATGAACATGGTCAGGTTAAAGAGCAAAACATAGACTTGGAACTTTAAATCTAAAATCATGTGGAAATGTTTAAATTCCTCTTCAATTGTAAATCTACATTACAAAAAATGGAAGTATTAAAATACCATATTCGAAAAAGCAACAAATGATTAGTATTGGGAAATTTCTTCCCTCTTCCACAGTATCTTTCTCTTGCCATACATCACTTATTGAAATATCAATGAAGTTGCTGTTTTTTAGCATATATTTCTTTTTCTTTTTTGTGGAACTCAAAATGTTGCAACAATTCTAGAGGCTATTAAAGAACATTCGTTAATGTTTCTTTATGGGCATAAAGGGGTTAAGTTATAATGGGTTTCTTTCGTGTCGTTGGTTGAGAGTTTGTGTGTGTGTCTGTGCATGCGTGGGAGTTGGTTTTATAAAATATGCATATTACATATTCGGCCAGAACAAATGGAGGGCAGCAGCACATAGAAAGGATTCTATAAAGCTGTAAATCTACTGTAATGGCATTATAAATATACTCACACTCTTTCTTTACAATCACACGCCATAAATACAGTTCTTTTTTGGATTTTACAGTCACTTTCCATTTGAATTGAAATGTTGATGTACATTTTGACAAAAATGAATACGTCATAAATAAACTTTTTAGAGTCGAAATTTCCTCTTTTTCATTATAAAAAATAATCGTTATAAAACAGTAGTCATTACAGGAAACGGAAGGGAATAATATAAAATCCTGTTGCTATATGTGGCAATCATTCATCGGTTGTATATACATTTTTATAACAAAGATATTATTATTAGGTGAAAGTGGTGAAGAAATATGAGTTATTTCGGCATATAAACAAAAAATAGACTGCTCTGTAAAGCAAATTTATGCAAATTATGAAACAAAAAAGCCTACATTTGTTGTAGCCATCTACATACCTACATAGATAATATTTGCAACATTTTTAAAAAGATTATATCCAAATAGTCTCTTCTAACAAAATTAATCATCTTTAAAGTCATACAAAATACACTTATGTTTCAATATTTTTGTCTTCTTCTTCTTTCTATATTCTCATTGGTTTGAGGTGGTCAAGTAGATGTTGGCTTTGAGTTCTTGCTTACAGTACACATAGCATAACGATAAACTGCATAAATCTTTTTTAAGTGGATAATTTTGCATATGTATACTGATAAATCCTTTTAGTCCATAAAAATGTATTCGCAGTGTGTGATGATGTGATGTTGTTTTTCATATTCTCTTGGTTGGTAGTACATGAGTTATCTGTTTTTTGGCTATGACAACATTTTTACTAATGTCTTTGTAAAGTTTTTCTTTATTCCATGTGTTTTGGATTTGAACCTCTTTGCAATTTAAATTCGATATGGATGCAGTATGTCATATAATCAACCTTGAAAGATGGTTAGGAAATTAAGAAATATTTAAGGCCGCCAT